ACAGGACAACTCCGTAGTCTTGTAATTTTGAACCCAATTCAGAAGACAAGGAAATTCCTGGATCAGAACCCCCAGATATATTATTTGTTATGGGAGCCTGGAGGACTTCGTGACCCGACAGATTTAACGTGCATTAGTCACCATTTACTACACGGAAAATATTCGGCCGGCGGGGATTGAAACCACGACCTCTTGGACATGGGCCCACATGCAACTTAAATGGTAACCAAGTCAACTACACATCACAACTGTTTTTAACTATTTTATTTTATAACAGTCGTTGAACAGCAGATCCAATTTTTGGGTTTACGGCTACTTATGTTCAATTCCGTAGCCTTGTAATTTTGAACAAAATCCTGAAGACAAGGAAGAGCCTGGTTCGAGTATTGAGAGAAATTTGCCTTCGTGGAGGACTTTTTGATGGAGCTAACCCGCATTTGCGTTACATGGAGAGGAAGACCACGAGAACCTCCCACGCTTAGCCTGACGACAAGGGGACTCTAACCCATGATCCGTTTACCACTGAGGATATTTCGCGTTAGCACTGTGGTCGGTGCAAGGCGGATGCGGAATTCGTATCGACTGGGATTCGAACCCGGTTTGCCTCTTTGGAAGGTGAACTCTCTATCCCCTGAGCCATCGCTACTCTGTATTTAACTATTGGATTTTTCAACTCCTCCTCCAATCCAAGCACCTTAATTAGTTTTAAACAATAAGCTAACCAATATTTTTGCGGCTTTGTTCGCGTGCAATTTTAACTATTTTCAAGAGATGTCCGCCATATGGTCAAAGTTATTTATGTATCGAATTTTAGTAATAAGTTAAAATCTGTCCGACAGCTATTAAATTACACAAACAAAAGGAAGTATGAGTTCGGTAAATTTCAGCACAGTAGACAGCAGAAGTTTTAAAATAAGATAAGAAACTAATAAACTATATAAGTTATTGCTCGAAAAAGACAAGGCTCGGCACCATTAATTGACCTCGTGGCAGTTTTCATAGCACAGTATATGTTTAAAATTTGTACTGCCATTTTATGCAGGCTCAAAAATAAATCTAAATGATAACTTCGTAACTAAGTTTTTATTTCAAATAAAGTGAAAGCAATTTAAAGTTTTATCACTTACGTTCCGATGGTAATAATTGTCTTGTTATTGTATTCGATAAATATTACGTTATTATTTTATTTGGTAATTATTGTGTTATTGTAGTATTTGGTTGTTATCAACGTTAATAACTATTCAATATAATTGCATTTGGCATTAATCTCGTGAGAAGTGTACTTGATAATATCTTTTTTGTGACATACCATGACAATATCTTTTAAATATTGTTCTAGAGACAATAAAAAACATTGATACTCCTCGGTACTTCCCCCAGATTCAGTACTGCACTTATTCTTTAGCTGAAAAGGCTCTTCTTGATAAGTCAGATTGCTTTATTCCCTGGTGAAAATCGAAAACTTTATTTAACACAAAAATGTTTGCATGGATAATCAATATACATGCCCCGATAGTAGTTTGAGTACTAACTATAAAACAAAAGTTTCATTAAAAAAGAATCAAGTTCGAAATGTTTTAGGTATAACACTGGGGAACAAATATTTGTTGCATTTCTACAAATACTTCATTTTGCCTGATTTGAGTGTGAGAATTTAAAATTTGAAAATAGTTTTCTTCTAAAACTACTGATTTTTTAATGGCATTTTTAGTCTAACTTTAGTCAAAATTCAAAAGCTCAAAATTTTATATATAACACTGGGTCACCTAAATGTTGTAACAAACGTTTAAGGGAATTAGGGCTCATCATTAGAATTAGAATTGCACAGAAACTCATGTCTGGGAATGTCGCCGTACGTGGCTAGAGGTGGATGCTTCTTTTTTATGACCTATTCAGAAGCACAGGATAAGTTCATAATAAAGAAGCGCCCTCAGCGGTATATGACGACACTTCCGGGCAGGGTTTCTATGAAATTTTATTCCTGACGAAAACCCTTATCTCCCTAAAATTTAGTCGCAGCATTTACTCGATTCCCTGTTATATATAAAGTTTTTAGTTTAGTGCGCCTCGTCAAAAACTAGACTTAAAAAAATCATTTTGAAAAACATCTGTAGCGATACTTAAGTTTCTAAGATATGTCAAAAATTCTACTACAGAAAACAAAAAAGATGTAATTTGTGTAATCTGTTAATTTAATGTAAGTGTTATCTGTTTAATATTTATTCTTAGGGTGTTACTTTATTTATGAGTCATTTCTCTCTGCGATTATAATCACCTAGAAGTTGTATATTACTTCATATAAATCATGTGACTACTATTTATAACAAACCTTTCATCTAGAATTTTTTTAGATAAGCGTATTATCATAAATTAGAAGTGATGAGAATCTTCTACGAATTCCTTTTCCTTCTCCTAGGCAAAACACACAATTTGCTTGTTCTATATAAATACAAGGATTATTTTATCTTCTTTACATCATGGTCTAATTCTCATATTACATCGTAGGAGGGATTGACTTGTCTTTTCTTGATAAGATTATCTAAACTAGACTAAGAACATTAAAGAGGTTGTCCCAGTTTTAGTAGTGATGACAAATTGCGCGAAATTGAGGCAAAATTCTGCAGTTCTGAGGAAATTAGTAATTTCAGCCTTTTATCGCTGTTGTAATAAGTTGAAGGAAAGTATGGTATTAGTAGGGGGGAGGGGAGACTTAGAATCAGAAATTCAATTAACATATCTTAGACAAATTCCCCCAATCGATTAATTTAAAATCTGAATATCAAAATTCACTCCCAAGCCGTTTATTCTTTTGACGATTTTAAAATATTTACTGCTATTTTTCAATATTTGTAACTTGCTTCTCAATCTAATTTGCTCCTTTTTTTCGAGACTACTTTGATTTCTAAAGATATTTATTAAAAAAAAAGAGGAAAGTAAGTTTAAACTAAGAATTAATCGTTCCTAGAAATCACCTTCTTAACATTTGAAGTTTTATTCCTACACTGTAAAACATTCCGGACCAAATTACGGTAAAAAGTATCGGCAATCAGGGTGCCAATGCTTCTTGCAATAAACTACATTCTTATCGTAAAATTTTACGGAGCAAAAAATCCTATGCATCGTAATTTTTATACAGTAATATTTACTATAAAATCAGTGAAGTACTGTAATTAATTAAATGTTACTGTAAAAGTTACAATATAAAATTTTGTGGTAAAAATGGCTTTTTCAGTAAAATAGATTTAACGGATGTACTTTTACTAGAATTATAAAAATATGTATTAAAAGTGATCTTTACGGAACATCCTGCTTCATGTCATAAAAATTGCAAATGTTTCGATAAGGAGCATTGCTTCATATGAGAAGCGAACCTACAAAGAACAACCATAAAGCAAATTTTTGTGATAAAACGCAGCATTTTCATGTCAAATAATGCTTTTTTTCGTGAGCCCCTCCCTCTCCGGGAGAATTCATTTGTGGAAGGGGTAGAGACGCTGAGTAAATATTCTAAATATGCTTGTAATCCATTTGATTTAATTTTCACAACTAAACTAATGATGAATATTTATTCTATTTGGCAGTATCTTCCGATACATGTAAAATGCAATGCCGACCACCTAACCACACTTTGAGGCATAAACTGTCCAGTGTTTTAGGTTCTCTATTAATTTTTTCTAACGATTGTGCCAATACAATTCTGCAATCAACAGTTTTTGAAAGATATTTAAATAGTAAACTGTTATTAGTGTTCAGATTTTTGATAAGTATCTTTATTTTCATGCAATTAACTTTAAAGGAAATTTTTAGATTAATCGAAATCACTTTTCGTCAATTTAAAGTACAATAAGATTAAATTTTAAAAAATTTTTAAAAAAAATTAGAAGAGCGTAGTTTTAAATTACTTACTCAAAACCACAAATCGCATCATCTCATTGCTTTAAAGCTTTGAGGAAAAATGCCTTGATGTACGAAAATATTCTCCTAATCTATTAAAGCAACCCCTTTATTTTCTATCTTTTCTGAAATGAATTAAGCTGTCTAATAATACTATATAATTAAAGGTTGTTAAGTATAAAAAAATATTGAGAAAACTCAAATAGAAAATTTAACCTGCGAGGCGTGTTCCTTTTTTTTTTNTTTTTTTTTTTTTTTTTTTTTTTTAGTAAGGGCAGTTTGAAAACAAAGCAAAACGAAAGGAAATAAATAAATTTGCAAGAAACAAATTTATTTTCAGATTCTATATATGTTTTTCTATTTTTCAACAAAGTTTCCAAATTTATTTAAACATTTATCATGCCTGACAACTAGATTTAGAATACCTTTCTCATAGAAACTAACCACCTGCTCCAATAACCAAGAGGTCACGGCCGTTTTCAAGTCTTCGTCATCGTTTTAGTGGTTACCGGTAAAATGAAGTTCGAATTATCGGAAAAGATGAAAATCGCTCGATGCAAGGTCTGGGCTTTAGGGAGGGGTAGTTCAAAACTTCCTAGCCAAAAGAGTTCAATAAATCCCAGGTCTGAGATGTGGAAAGAGTCATTGTCATGCTTTAGCAAAATTCCTTATCCGCAAGGCAGCAGGTACTTCACAAAACTGCTGGTAAATGACTGCAGGTTTTTTGCTGACCAAAAACGCATCATTGACGGTACCTCACAGAGAGCTGGGATTTGTAAATCTTAAACATTTTAAGAACACAGAACTGACAGCACAGATTACCTACACATCTGTAACTGAGCACAGTTGTTCCTAAGGAATACCGGAACACGGTGCAAAATTTCATTGCGACACTTATTAGTCTGCAAAACGAAACGGCCCTTACTTAAAAATAACCCCTCGCAGAATCCAAGATGGTGAAAGTAGAAGCTTTTTAAGATATTCCATTATATTATTTAATATTACTGATGGGTGTTGCTCTTTTTTTTTATATCTCTTAGCATGTAAATTTAACTTAAATTTACATTAACACTGAGATGAATAACTTTCGGTTTCTTTATTTTTAGGAGCTATTGTGGGGGATCCCGCAATGGCACCTTGCAACCACGATGAAGTGGAACCTGCTAGTGCTGCTACCTGCTGTGTTCTTGCGGTCATTTTTCTGGCAGTCTTGCTTCCTCACCTCGTGGCTTTGGGTAAAAAAAATGTCTTTTCCTCGTAATACAATTTAAACTTGTGTTAAAGTAGTATTAATATTTGATAAATAATATGTTTGTTAATTTAATTACGAAATATAAGCACTTTTGAATATGAATGAACTATTTTAAAATACATTTCTTACAAATAATACTATGTCTAGTTTCTAAGCTATTATGCTTCTGTTTAATATACGCTGCAAATTAAACGCTCTATACATACATTTCTCTTATGTGGCACCATAAACTCGGGTATTTCGCTACGTATTAGCAGCACTATAAGTATTCATTTTGTTAGGATGTCTTAAGCAATAATTAAGTATTGTTAAAAAATTACTTATACGTTAATTTTTTATTTAGAATAATTTTGTATTTTTACGGAACGAATTAATTCTTACGAGTAATGGCATATATATATTATACGATACTCAAGTTATGGCTCAAGACATGCATGAGAAAGTAGTACAGCACGTAATGGGTCATAGGAATGAGTTTTCTGACTTATCTCATGACAGAGATAATATTTCTATATTTCTGTTGCCTGCTATGCTGAATTATCCCGAAACGGAATACGTGATTTAATGGCTTCTGGGTCGATTTTTAATTATTGCTAAAATTCAATACATGAAGAACTTTAACAATATCACAAACATCTCTTAAAAATAGTTAAATGTGAAATCAAAGTACTTCCTGCAGGCAACCGTTAAAGGTGAAAGTATTTGGTTAATATACTAATTAAGGAGTTAGGTTTGAAGGAGGGGTTGAAGAATTAGAATATTTAAATATACGAATGTGATGGGCATTCAGTGGCTTAGCTACCATTAAAACCTATATCTTGCACAAGATTATTTTAAAAGGTAACCAAGCAGTTCCCCTAGGATGGCTAGTTACTGAAGATATCTATCAACAATTTTATTCGAAGATCCCATTGGTGCACGCAATAGCCTATAACATTCAAATCTGCCATTTAAATTAAAGGTAGGAAACATTTTAAGTTTTCAAATAATATAAATTTAACAATGCTGATTGGAAATTAAAACCTAATGATTTTTCAGTTTATCAATTCGGCACAATAAAAAAATTAGTTTAAATATTTTTTTTAATTCAGGCAACAACCTAAAGGAATATTTGAAATTATGATTAAAATTAAAAATATAATTTGTTTCATTAAGATGTAGCTCTTTTTTGCCAAAAAATTTTTAAATGCTGAATATATTTCTCATTAACATAGTACTTCTGATTTAAATTGTTTAATGTTTAGTTCCTAATGTGTCCACTGTGTGTTTTATTGTATTCGCATTTCAGCGGTCGTGGGGAGAGCAGTCAATGGTTCCAAATATTTGCCCAAAAATAAAATTAAGTCGATGATACAGGACATTAAGTTTATAACTATTGTTATTATAAGATTGAATTTTTTGAACAGATAAATGTATAGTACAGACAAAATATTTTATAAAGAATAAAAGTGAATTTTTAGGCATAATAAATTAAAAAGAAAAGTTTTAGGTTAATAAAATTAAAATAATTTTTACATCATGCACTGTTAGAAATTTCTGGGCAAAACTTTTTAAATGAAAACTTATTTAATATTTTTGCCATATTCAAACCATACAGCTAAATAAACCATTAATAAGATGGAAATTAAACTGTAAACTACGAGAAAAACAGTTTATTAATTGCTTTTGCCTAATATGGTTACAAAAAACATAATTTTATGACACCAACTAAACCCACTTAAGAAAACTACTTAGTTCTTTGCAATTGCGTACATATTATGGCCGAGAGTTATAGCCCCAGTTCTGTTAGCCTCATGACCGACAGAACTGGGGTTCTAGTCGTCCCAGCGTTGTCCCTACAATCTTTCCTCCGCTCCCTTCAGCACAAAAAGGGTTTCCAGTGTCCTGCATTCTCTAATGGTTATTATCTAATGAAAATTCTAGCTTCTATGCCCGGTTTAAATCCTTTTTTCATGGTTTCGAAACTATGCTAGTTGAAAATGGTTAAAAAACCGTTGAATTTTGTATTCATGGTTTTATAACCATACGAGTTGTAAATGGTTTCAAAACCGTAAAAGTAGAAAAATGTTTTTTTACCGTAAACTTTACGGTTAATAGGATGGACAGACTGTTGTCGCGGTAATTTTTATACAATTTTAGAATAAAAATTCTATCCATGTAGCTATATTACGATTCTTTTCTAGTCAATAATATATTTCTCACCTTTGAATAGTTTAACCATATAGTACTTTAAAATTTAAGATAGAGATTTAGATTTCTTTTCTTTTTTCAATAACTCTCATAGTCAAATTCGTTTTTCCACTTAATGGTAATGCTCCTCTGTTACAAGGCATGCGACATAAACTCTAATCAAGAAATTTTTCCCAGGCATCTAATCGGCACTGCCACAGTTCCCTTTACGAAGGAAAATCAATAAAAATACATTACACTGAAAAAAAACTTATGTTCAAAACTATGAAGATATAGGAAAAATTACCGTGTTTCTGGTAATATTAGAACACCGAAAAACTTCGTAATTTTTACCAAAGTTATTTAAGAATCAGTTTGGTAAAATTAAAAATGAAATATGGTTTCATAATATGTGTTAAAACTTTGTAATTTTATTATGATACCTTAGAGCATGCATTAAAACCATTTATTTGGTTAAATATGTTTCTTAGTTTTGGACTTTTTACTAAATATGTTGTAATAAGAACTGTAATTTTGAAAATCAGAATTTCCAGTGAACCATTACCATATGAATGGAAAAATTTAAAAAGGGATGATTAACTACATATTTTGGTTTTATTAGCCAGAGTAAAGTTTGTTAAACAAGAATTTCATTACCATTACGGTAAAACTCATTACGGTAATTTTACCTGAAGTTTTTTTTCCGAGTAACATAGTATCGAGAAATTTTCCTCGGGCATCCTAACACACTTGACAGAATTTCTTCTGCAATAAATTTCTATAAGCATACATTAAGAATTGATATTGAAATCCATTTGCTATGTTTTAAAAGAAAATTAAACTCGTATTTTATGCATAATGAAGAACTTTATATTCCTGTGACTTATGATTACAATAGTTACTACTTCTTTCTAGAAAACATTTGACTTCATTGACTTTTGAAAAGCCGGTTGCTTTCAATTCAAAAGTTTCATTTGAATTTGAAATATAAAAACAAAATTTCGAAATCAGTTACTTGTACAAACTTTTTAAATTCCAATCTTTTATGTATCTTAGAGTTATCAGATATTATAGTTTCAAACTAAAGTAGCATCAGTTAATTTTAAGATATTAGAATTGGCTTGTTCATCTAAAGTTTTTAATTAATTTAGTATGATATCACACAAAATAGTGCAAGATTTTAAATAATTATTCGTCTTAGTTTCCTAAGCCTAAATTCTTCGAAAATATGATAAGAATTTCATTAAAAGCTAAACCACGAAGTTTTAATTTTTTAATCTTCATAAATACAATACTTTATTAAATCTTATTTTTCAAGTAGCACATTAAGAAGCAAAGAAAAAAAGCATTTTTCTTTGTTAACGCTTATCGCGCTTATTCATAAGAAGGAGTTTATATTGTCTTTAAAGCATCTTGTTAGCTATTTTTCCAGCCACATCGCCTTTTTTTTCCTGGTAATAAGTACTACCCTCGTAGTCAGATAACACAATCCTGAATCAATAATGAAGCATCCAAAAAGTTTCTTGTTCTTATAAATCATATCACGTTCCGACGAAGATAAGTTACGTAATTTTTCAACCGTTTCTTGGCGATGTTCCCAATTTAAAAGTTATTCATTTCATTTCGCAGTTTCCTTCGTACACAAAATAGTATACTTTATACCTCTTCTATAGCATTTTAAAAATGATAGTAATTAAAGGCCGGATGTTATTTCTAATTTTTTCGTTCACTTAAATATAATTGTGTAGTTTTAATGTTTCTAAGAGAAGTTTCGGTACAAAATGCCTAGTGGCGAAGCCCCCAAGTAATAGTTGCGTCAAATAAATTAAATTTCTTAATATGCACGATGTTTAATAGTTTCATAATTCCACATGAACGAAATAAGCAGCGGCGTAAATAACACCACCGAAATCTCAAACATCCTATTATAGAAGCACATATTATAGAACCATATTTGATTGTTAATTTTACCAAAATCATTAGCAGAGCGCTTCGGTAAATACTACCAAGCTTTTTGCTGTTGCCACAGAGCCAGGAACACGTTAATTATACCATATTGTAATAGTTTTCTCTACAATTTTTCTTAGTCTGAAAATGTGCGCAATTGAACCATGTTTTTATTTGAGTAGAACTTCATCGTGCAATCTAGTTTAAAAATATGGTTTATCTTAATTCCATTGAATCAGATTGCACAAAATTTGCTTTTTATATCATGGCTCATAACATTTTATAATTTTTAACTGTGCTTTAAAAAGTAAATATTTTAGGGAATATATTAATTATAAATATTTGGGAACTTATTATATATGAATTATTTGGTATGTATGAGTTATAGATGAAAAATAACTAATACATATTGCTTCAAATCATATTACTTCTCACTGCATTGTTTTTTAAAAGGAAGAGGAGGAAAACGTACAACAAGAAATATGTCATCCAAAAATCCGAATACACGGCGGGAAAATTACTTAAAACTAAAAAGATGGGTGAGACCCATTTGGTCTCTCTTCTTTTTTGTTGCTCTGTAATTCAAAACGTAACTTTCTGAAAGTTTTGAGTTCTGATTTCTTATAATTTATTTCGAATTTAAGAGCTTATGTTATCATTGATATGCAAGCCTTAAAAAAACGAATATATAGAACTTATATCTAGAATGACGGCAGCTGCGAGAGTGACTCCTGAGATATTCTACTAGGTACCCCTAACCCCACTTATATTTGGGTATAAAGTACCCTTTTGGAAGGTATAAACTACCACAGTTTCATTAAAAAAGCAATAGTATTTTGCCATATCTATAAATATTATTTATAGAGA